TCAACCTCTTTCCAAAACCCCCAAAACGAGCCCCCCTTTGGTACTGCCTCAAGGCCATAGTAATGCTACCATCTTTCTGAATTATCCAGAATTGAAAATTTGTTTTCATTATTAGTTTTTAATTCTTCAGACACATTCATTAGTCACAAACCTTTAATTTTTTTCCCACAATTTACCTTGGATGCTCTATTTATATAATTGCTTCTGGGATCAAATAATCCCTATATTATGTTTACTACCAGTCAGCAGCTGAACCTTTGCTTTCATTCTCTCTGCGTGGCAACTGATTCTACACAAGAACACATGTGTGAGCTTTCTAAAGCACAACATGTATCAGGCGGGCCCCTCTCAAGATTAAAAATTCCTAATTTTTAAAAAATTTTCTGGTACATCAAATACATACTTCTCAATTTAGCTCTCTAGAAATACTTTTAAAACTCCATTAACTTGTATTGGAAAACTCTTTATCACTGGTCAAATAAAACTCTATAATCCAGTTTTTTGCCCCTAAATTCTTATATTCCCATTCCAGTAGAAATGTTTATCCCAAAATCATGCTTTCTTCAATTTCTTCATAAATCTATGTCCCTCATTAGGTCAATATTTAGATCTTTATGGGATTTCTCCTAGTTAGACTTTTCTAGCCACTGATTATTTATTCAAAACTAGTTCAAGAAAAATCAAACTGTGTTTCTCATGACTTCCATATACTGAATTGTAAGGTATACAGAAATAGGAGATTGGCATCGCCTTCAAAAACTCTGATGCAGTAAAGTAAGAAGACAGAAGGACAAAGAAAGAGACCCAGGAAAATGCAGGAAGGACATCTCATCCAGACTAAAGAGGTTGGGAGTAGCTTGAATGAGATGAGTAAGAAGGACTACCAAGAACGAGTAGGTGTGCATCATATGGATGGGGCAGATGTGTTGAGAAAAGCTCTGTGTTTCTACTGGAGTTACGTGTAATCTGCAATAATTGCATTATTTATGGTAGTTTATATTAGGTTGAGCTTTGTTGAAATAATGTACAATAAACCCAACTCCAGTTTGAAAACGTTTAGTTCCAATTCAGAAAATAATACAGCAGATACTAGCAATCCCATAAACATTCAAATCCCTTTTCCTAATTAAATGGTGTTTGAATGTAATATAAGTGTTGTACTTCAACAGATGGCTTTCAAACTCAAAATGTTTTCCGTATGGAAAATATTTAAATGCTTTTCTGTGAGGTTGGCTGGATTTTATTATATCAAATATTGAGCAATAGCAAATTATTTTTGTTCTAAAAACTCTTATTTTAGGAATTCTCTTTTGTAAACTATTTTTGCCATCAATATAATATTTTTGTTTTAGAAATATTTTACAGGGGCACCTGGGTGTCTCAGTCAGTTAAGTGTCTGCCTTTGGCTCAGGTCATGATCCCGGGGTCCTGGGATGGAGCCCCGCATCGGGGTCCCTGCTCAGCGGGGAGCCTGTCTCTCCCTCTGCCGCTTCCCCTGCTTGTGTTCCCTCTCTCTCTTTCTCTCTCTAATAAAAAAACATAGAAATATTTTATACAAAGTTTAATGTTATGAATAAATATTAAGCTGTAAATTTGTACTTACCAGGATTAATTATCCTTCTTTCACACATTATTATAATATAAAAAATATATATATATAGAAATATGTGTGTCCCCATCAGACACAGAAAGGTTTTAACGCATGTTATCATGTTGTTTAGTTAAAAAGATAAATTATCTCAGACTCTCCAAATTCCCTTCAGTTGTAGTAGAGGGAAGGTTGTACGCAAGACTTTTGAAAACCAAATACAACTGATGAGCATTATAATTGTTACCAGCATTGTGTTTCTTACATTAGACTGTGCATTCTCAAAATTCTTGTGGCTGGCTGTCTATGCTACTTGGAGATATGAAAAAGCAGTATTGCTATTTTGACTCACTTTTTGTGAGCAATAATCTATACTTTAAGATCAGATCTGTGTTGAACCGGAAAGTCTTAAATATTTAAAGGATTGTACTAGAGATAAGATGATAACGGACATCGGATTTCCTAAAACGGAAGAAAGTGAAAGAGGTAAACGGCACTGCTGAGGTTGATGGGACCTAAGCAGCATCTCATGAGGCCAGAGTGGGCAGTCCTCAAGCTTATTTCCAGCAACACTCCTTCAAAAGCCCAGTGACTTTCTCTGGAATAAGAAAAGTTAATGAATGGCACTGGCTTCAGCAAGTATAATTCAAACACTATTATCGAACGTTTATTTGAATAATCCACTTTCCTTTCTGAAGAGTATTTCTTGAAATACACTTTTCTCCCCGCAGTGTATTTTCTTCTAGAAGTTCGATTTCTGCTACTACATGATGGAATAGATTTATTGTTTTTTTTAACATGTAGGTTGTAGCCAACTCCAGTGGGGCTGCAGAGATTAAAATTCGGATGTTTTCTTAGCAGTTTAGTAGTATCAAGGCTCACTCTAGGGAAATCTCTTTCTCTAAATAGAATGTGTAAGTCTCCTATGGGGTGTTGGGTAAATGGTCAAGGAAAGGGTTCATTGAAATCGTGAGTAACAAACATCTTACAGTTTTTCTTGTTTCTCTTTATCAGGTTCATCTGGCCTTCACAGCCTTCTAGTGCCCTTCCTTTATGTGCGCAGTTTATTGGGTTCAATACTGTGAAGAACAATAATGCTAGCACCTCCCACTATAATAGCCAAGATTGATCTCGCAAGTATTGTGGGCCAGGAATAGTTCTAAATATGCCACATGCATTATCTCATTTAATCTCTGTATGCACGTGCACATACAGCCCAGGAAAGAGGGAACATTTGGAAATTTAACCTTTTTGTCAACATCCTCTTCTGTGTGGAGGGAAGATTCAAGGTTCCCATGCTCTGCTTGAGCCTCGCATCCCTCACAGAGCTTATCACGATGCCCTGTGAGCAGTAATTCCTTAAGAAGTGTTTGTGAGAAGGATAGGAGCACGTTTGAGGTAGGGCTGGTAGTGCTACTCGAGAGACTGCCCCTGCTCTTTAGACTCTCTCTCTGCTGTGGGTGTTTTGTTTCTCCTTTCTTTCACGCCGTCCTTATTCACGACCCTTCTGCCTCTTAATGATGCTTTTACATATTTTTGGTGGCAGAAGGTCTGCCATAGTAACAGTGCTAATGAGTCACATTTTCCCTGTGGCACAGACATGGCCATCGTGGTTTTGCAGATCAACCAAAGAATCACAGAGTCGTCCAGAATGTTCTGCTCCTATTGAAATGATCAGATAAACGTAAAAATATGTTAGAAAAGTTTCAGAGTTATAAAGGAGTTGCAGCTTTTTAAAAAAGATCTTGTATGAGAGAGAGAGATTGAGCGCACGCACAAACGGGGGGTATGGGGCAGAGGCAGAGGGAGGAGCAGACTCCCCACTGAGCAGGGAGCCCCACGCGGGGCTCGATCCCAGGACCCTGGGACCATGACCTGAGCCAGAGACCTACGCTTCACCGACTGAGTCACCCAGGCGCCCCAAGAATGGCAGCTTTTAACATTATATTCCCACTTTGAAATACCAAGGGGGAACTTCTTAACAGATTTTCTGATGTGCTTACTCCCTGCAGCAGTATTCTTCGAAGGCCTGTGTGTCTGCACAGCTTGGGAATAGCTTGTAAGTCTTACATCTGTTATTAGGTGCTGTGCTATTAGGTATTAGAACTCAGAACGTTTTCAATTAATAAGGGAAGCAGAAATTCACTGTGTCAAACTCTTAAAATGTGAACATAGAGAGGCATGTTTTTAAAGTACTTCTTCAACTCTGAATAAAATACTTGCTAGATAATAAGAGATCTCGACTCATATTTTCTTAATTTAAAATAGGCACACTTAAATTGCTTTGTCGTATTTCCCATAGATATTTACTGGTCCTTTCCCCATAGACAGTGTTCTCGTTTTGCTTTCACCTGGAGGCATTTGTCCTTATTTAACAGAATAGTTCTCTGTTTCCTTGAATGCTATCTGGAATATCGTACACGTGATATGTGATGCAAATTGATGCTTCCCAGAAGCTTTACTGATTATGCGGTTTCAGGGAAATCTCCCATTTTATTTTTAAAGATGCTCTCTCTCTTCTCTTCTTGGTCCAAAATATTGTACCCAAAGCCTGACTTTGGCTCTGGAGTGAAACAGGCCTGGCTTCAGTTCTGGCCCCATCACTTTCCACCACAGGCCCTGAAATAAGCCGTTTATACTTGCCAGGACTTAGTTTCCCGTATGTAGTTTTGAGGATTTTTGTGAGGTTGCCTGTATTTATATCTGCTCAGTAAATGTTAGCAACTGCTTTTATTTTCAGTAGTGGTAATTTTATTAGCAGTAACCGTGAGTTACTATTTAATGTTGGCTTTTTTTGTTTGTTTCTGTTTTTGTTTTTTTGATAGAGAGTGGGGGTGAGGCGGGGAGGGGCAGAGGGAGAGGGAGAGGAAGAATCTCAAGCTGGGCATGGAGCCTGACGCTCGGCTCAATCTCACGACCCTGAGACCATGACCTGAGCCCAAATCAAGAGTCAGGCGCTTAACCGACTGAGCCACCCAGGCGCCCCTTAATGTTAGGCTTTTTTTAAAAACAAAAAATCACTCTATAGTGTTCTGGTAGTTTGGCTTATACGTGTGACAGACTTGAAAGACACATGATAATCACTAAACTCGCTTTCTGTCCAGGCATGACACCTTAAGGCAAGTTAGGTTGAACTCTCAGGATGATATACTTAACCATGTTTCAACAGCACATAGAGTTTCTCTAAACCGAATTTCAAGGCCATACTATATTTTAAGTAAAATTTATGATAAAAATCTGTGTGCGGTTGTCATAAAGCAGTTTTAGAACAATGATCAGGCTCCGGAGGAAGCATTATTGGTTCCGTGGTTCTGGAAGAACAGCTCTGTAGCTTTGTGCGGTGCGTTCAGGCATCTTACTTCCCTTTCGGTTCCTGTTCAAGTAACTAAAAGGATGTATTTTTGCTTTTCAGTCACTCAAGACTGCTTGCAACTGATTGCAGACAGTGAAACGCCTACCATACGGAAAGGTAATAAGATCATCTCCCGCAACGTTTCGACTTACAGTTCAATCACGTGTAAGACTGTATTCAGACTTCATCTCACATCAGCTGTCTGCCTCCAAACTTCTCAGAATCAGATGTAAAATAAGAAACTTCAATTTATTCAAAATGATCGGGGAATAAATATTTAGGCTAAGGTAATAATCTAACAAACAGAATTACCTTAGAGACACGAATACTTAGAGATTTAAAATAATTAGCATTTGATAAAACCAATACTAAGCCAAATTCAGGGTTTTTTTTATTTTTTAGAAATCATTTTGGCTTCTCAGTGACTCAGGATCATCTTCACAAATATTAATTGCCCTATTTTATTAGGTTTTAGAAATCATAATAGGATGAAGGTGAAACTGAATGTACCATAAACATTTTATATTAATTATTAGTAAATATGTGCAAATGAATATAACACTTTTATGATAATCCAATGTGAAATGATTACTTTATATTTTGCATGTATTGGTTAAAGACATACAATGTTCTACTTACTGTGTGGGCCGTGGGACTTAGCAAAGAATAAAATGTGCATTGTTCCTCACTTTCATGGAATTTACCTTTTGTTGAGGGGAAACAGGGGAAAAAAGCTAATGAACAAGTGAAATGTAGAATGATAAAATTAAGTGCTATGGGGAAAACTCCAGCAGGGGGGCAGGCTAGGGAATGTCTGGGCTGTAAACCAGAACAGGGAGTTCACAAGTGTCAGAGGGTTAAGCTAGGGGCTGGGAATGGGGAAACAAGAAGGAGCCCAGAAAATGAATTTGGATGAGCCTTTGTAATGAGTGCCAAGAGTGCTGTCTTGCATCTGTATTTCTCTAAGTGGCTTTAATTATCCCAAATGTAACATAAGTACTAAACTATTTGAAATTCTGTTATTATTTATCACTCTACATTTTCCAAAGTCTTATGTTTGCAACTTGAATAGGCAGCAGACTGTTTAGTAAGAATTAAAATGAAGTCAGAAGAAGACCTTGAGGACCAAAGATAAAATTTTTAAAGTATAACTTAGGAAAAGTTTGTTTTACACATTTGGCCAAAACAAAAATGCTGTCCGTCACACAGAAAGATGAAGCTGCTACTTGATCGTGAATGTGAGTTGCACAGAGGATTGTGTGTGATCTTCCTGGTTGGTGGCTGCTCTCCACTGACCTTGGGTGCTTATCTGCGTGCTTTGCTCCTTGGATGCATAGGTTAGCCTGGTGATACCAGCAGGCCTTGAGCAGCACGGAACTGTTAGTGGGCCTGGGCACATTTTAGCACCACTCCTTGCCTGCATCCCGCAAGGTCGGGTAGGTTGTGTTTCCATTTTCACCTGTCTCACGATATTTTTAATTCTACTTTTTAATTTCATGTGACCTGTTAGTTGAGGAGTGTGTTGCTTAATTTCCATGTAGTTTTGAACTTTCCTATTTTTCTCCTGTTACTGATTTCTAGTTTCATGTCATTGTGGTTGGAAAAGGTACTTGATGTGATTTCAGTCTTCTTAAATCTCTTCAGATTTATTTTGTGCCCTAACACTTTTTTTATTATGTTCGATTAGCCAACTTATAATACATCATTAGTTTTTGATGTAGTGTTCAATGATTCATTAGTTGCGCACTAACATTTTATTTATCCTGGAGAATTTTCTTTGTGCACTTAGGAAGAATGCATATTCTGCTACTGTAGGATAGAATATTCCATGTGTATCTGCTAAGTCCATCTGGTCTGTAGTGTTGTTCAAGCACACTATTTCCTTATTGATTTTCTTTTGGATGACTTATCCATTATTGAAAGTAGGTATTGAATTCCCCTACTCTTATTGTATTGCTATCTATTTCTCCCCTCAAATCTGTTAATATTTTCTGTATACATTTAGGGGCTCCAATGTTGAGTGCATATATATATATATATATATATATATAGATGAACATATACGTTTGTTATATCCTCTTGATGAATTGATCCACTTGTCATCATATAATGACTTCTTTGTCCCTTGTAACATTTTTTTACTTGAAGTCTATTTTGTTTAATATAAGAATAGCCACTTCTTATCTCTTTTGTTTACCATTTGGATGAAATATTATTTTCCAGCCTTTCACTATGTGTGTCCTTAATGCTGAAGTGAGTTTTTTGTAGGCAGAATATGGTTGCATTTTGTTTTTCTTTCAATTCATTCAGCCACTCTATGCCTTTTGATTGGGGAATTTAATCCATTTACATTTAAAGTAATTATTGATAGGACTTATTATTTTCCTTTTGTTAATTGTTTTCTGGCTGCTTTATAGTTCCTTTGTTCCTTTCTTCCTCTCTTGATGTCTTCCTTTGTGGCTTGATTATCTTGTGTACTGATATGTTTTGATTCCTTTCTGTGTGTATTTTGGGTATCTACTACAGGTTTTTAAATTGGTGTTTACCATGACACTTACATAAAGCAACTTAGTTGTAGTAGTCTCTTTTAAGCTGATAACTTAACTTTGATTTACATCTTTTTATATTGTGTGTCTATTAACAAACTACTGTAGTTATAATTCTTTTAATACTTTTGTCTTTTACTTTTATACTAGAGTTCAGAGTGATCTATACTCATTATAGCCATTTCTTTCAGGTTTACTGGAGATTTGTCTTATCCCTTTGATTGTGTTGGGTTTTCTTGATCCTTCATGTTCTTTGCAGAGCTGCTTTGTTGCCTCTGAAGCTATCTCTCCTACTCCTCATGGACTGATTTTGACTGGGATACAATTTTACTGGTCAGCAGTGCTTGATGTTAGCCACTGTAAGGCCTCAAGGAGCAAGGCCCCCTTTGCTTCCTCCCTCCCCTCCTGGAGGAAAAGAATCTGTTCTCTGCTTTTCCTCAATCATGCAAAACAAAACAAAACAAAACAAACTGCTGGCTATAAAAGAACGTCTTCCCCTTTTCTTTGTTTCGAACTGTCACAGGGACCAAGCTCTTTTGGTTGTTCAGCACAAAGTATGGGGTGAGATGGAAAGCAGCTCCACAGAAGGCACTCTGATAGGCCATGTGGCCAGGTGCACACTCAGATCTCACCGTCCCTCCGTGGGGGAATCACAGAACGAGGCTGTCTTCTTGGTGCCGACTGAGGCCTGTCTGGGGGAGGGACTGGTGTGAATAAGTTGAAATTGCTCCTCTTACTTATATAAATGTGACTGCTTCTCAGTTTGTGCTTTACTACTTAGCTTCTACTTCTTAGCTGGATTCTGAATTTCTTTTCAAGGTATTTGGCATTTTCAAGGTATTGTTAAATCAATGTTTCTGTGGAGGGATGATGTGTAAGGCTTACTACACTGCACCTTGCTGACATAATCCTTCATTCATCCCACTGTCTTTTGCCTACACGGTTTCAAGTGAGAAATAAACTGTTAATATTATTGAGCATCCCTTGTACTGGAAGAATTGCTTCTCTCCTGCTGCTTTCAAGATTTTCTCCTTGTCCTTTCTTTCAACCACTTAATTATAATTCACCTTGGTATGGATCTCTTTGAGTTTATCCTTTTTATTTTTTTAAAGATTTTATTTATTTATTTGTCAGAGAGAGAGAGTACAAGCAGGGGGAGCAGCAGAGGGAGAAGCAGGCTCCCCACTGAGCAAGGAGCCCAATGCGGGACTTGATTCCAGGACCCTGAGATCATGACCTGAGCCAAAGGCAGACGCTTAACGGGCTGAGCCACCCAGGCGTCCCTGAGTTTATCCTTTTTAGAATTCATTCAGCTTCTTGGATGTGTAGATGCATTCTTTCTTCAAAGTTAAGAAGAGTTTGGCCCTTATATCTTCAAATAACTCTTTTTGCTCCTTTCCCTCCTCCTTCTGGCGCTCCCATAATGCAAATGTTAGTCTGATTGAGGGTCCCCTATGTTCAGTTCACTTCCTTTCATTTCTTTTCTTTCTGTTCCTCAGACTGGATAATTTTAATTGTTCTATTTTCAAATTTGTGGATTCTGCCTTCTGCCTGCTTAATTTGCTCTGTAACCTCTCTACTGAATTTTTTAATTTAGCTATTTTACTTTTTAGCTCACAAGTTCTATTTGGTTCCTTTTTTAACAAAATATTTTTTATCTGTTTACTGATAGTGTCTGTTTGTTTATACATAATTCTCCTAGTTTTCCTAGGTTCTTTGTGGTTTCCCTTAGCTCCTTAAGCATATTTAAAAGATATAAGTCTTTGTCTAGTAAGTTCAACGTCCTGGTTTCCTCAGAAATGGTTTCTGCCAATTTCTTTTTTTTTCCTGTGAATGGGCCATAATTTTCTGTTTGTTTTGTATGCTTTTGTCAGTCTGCTGTCCCTTGTTCCAGAAGGCTACAGGTAGTGTACATCTTTAAAGTTTTTGGTTGACACCAGCCTGGGGACCTACTCCTATCTGAAAGAAATCTCCAGACAGGAGCGCCTGGGGGGCACAATCAGTTAAGCATCCAACTCTTAGTTTCACTCAGGTTGTGACCTCGGGGTCGTGGGATCAAGTCCTGCATCAGGCTCTGCGCTCAGCACAGAGTCTGCTTAAGACTCCCTCCCCCCCTCCTCAACTCTCGCTCTCTAAAATAAATAAATAAATAAATTTTTTTTTTTTAATGAGGAAAAAAAAATCTCCAGACAGGTCAAAATGCATAGCCACAATGATTTGGGAACAAAGTAAGTATTATACCCACCAGCCCCAGCAAGATGCCACCTAGAACCCAGGCCATCATGTCCATAGCTGCTGCCATGCTGGAGAATGGGGGATGGTAAGTGAGGAAGCAAAAATACAATACTTCCTTACTGAAATTTAACAGGCTGTTTCTTTTTTTATTAAGTACTCTCTTGGTTGCTGTAAGTTTTTTTATTAGATTTCATATATTCAAAGATGTTGATTCGGTAAGTTTTGCCAGCTTAAGTGCTATTTTGGTGGAGGAACTTATTCTATAAGCTTTTTACTTTGCCATTTTCCGTGACATCACTCTGACATCTATAATTACCTCTTTTGGGAATATCTATTGACCACTCTAGGCTAGAATAAATTTAATATGATTCCTCTCAATTCTCTATATTCTTCTTGTCCCCCACCATACACTTTTTGGGTGCTAATATTTTATTTCTAAATGTCTGTGTATGTACTATTAAAATATTTATGTTTCTGTTCCTTATCTATCAATTTTAATACATAGCCTTGGAGCCCCAGGTATTACAAATGAGGCCATTATCAATATTTTTCCTCCTCTACTTCTCTGTATTTGTAAATTTTATAATTTCTACATTGTCATGACATAAAACTGTTTCCTTCTTTTCTTTCAAACCATTCTCTTTATGTGCTTTTGTCTTGCTTGGTTTTACAGATAAATATATTCAATACCCATTGCAAGTGCTTTTACTGTGCTTTCCTCATTCATGTCTTAATTTCCTGAATTTCACTCTTGACTAGTTTATTCAAAATGGGCTCATGAGAAAAATGGTCACCAAGTTTCTGCATTGATAAAACTCTATCTTTGTAGTTTCTATA